ACTGCAATGTAACAATAAAGAAGTGAATGCCCTGAGACTATAGCATGTGTAATGACTATAAATATTTCCATAGCTGCAACGTTGGATACACCTTCATATCATATGGTTTATACTTTATTATAACCCTAGTTTCTTTCAAATCAAAATACATGTACTACCATTAATAAATGATGGTATTTACCTTGTTTTCTGTTCTGTTTATTCCGACGAGGAAAAGGAGGTAAGCCAGAGAAATACTAAGACAAAGATGGACCAAAACGAGGTTCTGGTCGTTCTTAACATATCTAAAAATAGAAAATAAAAATTGTGTCGAATTCCTATTGAAAATAAAAGACCAAGAAAAAACATATGCGTAAAAATAAAAATATAATAAATGGTGCATTGTCATACCTCCACAGAATAATAAAGAGAAAGAAAGTGATGGCGGACAGGACAACAGTAATGGAACAACCAATCAGAGATATTAACGTCAACACATCATCTTCCTTCGTCTGTTTCAAATTATATATACATTAATAGTGTATGATATGGTTTTTTTATTCAATTATAAATGAAAAATTGTGAAAGACCTGAGACATTCAGTTTGCCTGATAAATATTTCAAATCAAATATTTGCCTTACATTTTCATATGGTCGCATCAAAATAGCAAAGTTTGTCAAATGGTCACATTCACATTTGGTCACGTGATTATTTACTCTGGTTGTATTGCAGCCCTCTGAAGACCATGACCTGTAAAGATATTTAAGATTTATGTTTTAAATCACAGAAACGAAAACAGTAATTTATCTGGCATTATTTTGGAATTTGTTAAAGCCCAGAACAAAGAAAAAGTAAACAGTTACCCGATATTGAAATTCCAAAACACGCATACAACGTCAGTCTTTTGAAGATCAATCTGTGAAATTTTTGAAAGAAAAAAAATCCACATATTCATTCATATTCATAGAATAATTTAAAATTCTTAAGCTATTCAAGATCTGGTACTTTTACTCACCTCACTTTTGTGTTTGATATTCATCATGATTCCAGGGTTCAGCGAAATTCTTTCTCTTTCATCCACGATGTCCATAGACAAAACATCTGAGTTTAGGTTGAAACTTTTCGTTGATTCATTTCTACAAGTAAATATAATCTGAATGCGTCACATGTATATACATACACTCGTAAATTATTACTTGCAGTTTTTAAAATTACACTTACCCCGATAATGTATTTGTGGACGGAAGGAAGGTGTACACTGTTCTATAAACAGTCGCTGAATATATTATATCTGCCATGAAAAAAAGATAACTTTTTTAAAACAGAATCGACATTGATTCACAATCTCTGGATTTTCTTTATTTAGAAAGCAACAGTTTTCTATGCTAACATAAGACATTTAAAGTCATTATACCTTCTTTATTTGGCTCTGATTGGACGGGTAAAACTAGGTAGGAGGATTCTGTTGCTATGGATCCCGGAAATTTCACTGCCTCTCTCGAAGATCTGCGTCCAACCGACATTACTTTAATACAAATAAAAAATCCAAATTGTTTGATAATTGTTTTAAAAATTCGATAATTTATTAATGAGGTATCATTTCCATATTTTACTTACGATAATTATCCCTGTCAATGGTTTTGTTTTCTCTACTTTTCAATCCTTTGGAAACCTGATGACCAAACTCTGCCACAGTTGACAATATTCGAGAGGATCCATCTTTAGTCTGTAAAAAAATATAGTATAAAAACTGAGAAAAAAGAATATCTTAATTGAAAATCTATAGGCGAAAAGCAATACAAATATCAAATACGTTCTCATAGAAAAATATATAAAAATGTGAAGGAGTTAAGGTTTCTTTATTACCTGTTTGTTGATATCTTTCCAATTTTGACTCTGCGTTTCGCTCAAGACGTTATCAACAACACTGGCAAAATCCTTCAAAAAAAGTGTTTTTTAAATGACAAAATGTGGTACAAAAAATATCAAAAATGCATATAGTTCTTCAAACCAAGCATATATCTTAAGTAATCGAACCTGGTCTGGTAGTTTGGCGTCTGCTGCTTCTGTTACTTTCAGAATTTTGTCAAGTAAGCCGACTGTACTATCAAGGTCTCCAGAAGTTCCCTGCTTATGGGCCGTCAAGTTACGCATGGCAGCCATTTGTCTCTCCACGACAGAGGATACATAGGTTGTGTCGATAATGTTGTCAGTTAGGATATTGTCCAGCTAAATAAAAACAATGCAGTGTTTGCTCATTTAAGAAAATATGTATAACAATCTAAACTATTAAAGAATTTCATTTTTAGTAATTACACATGTACCATTTGGTTTCCCTCCACCAGGGTTTTCTCCACACAGTTTATCGTCACAGTTCGCCCCCAAGTCCCATCAGTTCTACATTGTTTACTTGCATTTCCTGAAAAAATACCAAATTGGAGAGGTTTTTGAACAAGGTATCGACACTTTTTTCCTCCATCACAGTTCACCTAATTTATTGGCATAGTCCATAACAGTATCTTGTTTATTGTTGCTGCTTATTACTGACCTACGTACTGGTCTGGACAAAGGGCATAGTAAGTTACTCCTGTCATTCCAAACTCCCATCTTATCCCGTGTTCGTCTACAGTCTTCATACAGCGAAGGTCCTCTGAATATTAAAGAAAGTAAGTAGAAAGAATAGCCTAGGATATGTATGTTCGTATCCCTAGGGCAAAGGGGAAGGAGACCTTACCTGGAGAATAGACAAACACGTCAGATACAGCTCTACTGGTGCCATTCACACCTAGTAGGCTGTAAGTCAATAAACATTCATATCTCCCTGTACGATTCTTCTGGGCGTTTGGTACTCTTAAAACAGATCCATTTCTTGATAGTTCTGAAAAATGCGAGTATAGTCCTCGTTAAGTTGTATATAATGCATTCTCATGGTAACTATTTTCCCTTATTCCATTTTCTTAGAATGATCTGATTTTTAAATGAAATTTCGGAGTAACTGTATGAAAAGGATATGCATCTACTTTTCTTTAAAATGATAAAAATCAATTGTAAACTTTTATTTCAATACGAGCAAAATGAAATTAATCGCATCTATTTGGATAAGGTTTGAAAAACATGTCAAAACTCTTGGTAGTAAGTTATTCCTGGATTTCATATTCTAACTTATTGACGATAAAGTTCTCCCGTCAAACAGTATCCGTAACACATGTTACTAAGACCCAGTGGAAAACCTTAGAGTTTTCCTAAACTCAATACATACGTCTTTCCCTCCATCTGAAATCTCCACTTTTGATCCAATCTAGTTTTGCTGTTAAATTTGGTTGTTCTAAGTTCTGGACAAAGCATCGCAGTACTATAGTTTCTCCTGTCGGAACACTTAAAGATAACGGAGCGATGTTTACTCTTGGTAACTTTCTAACTGTTAGAGACAGATTCGTTGAGATGTTGATACCAAGTAGTGGAATACTTGCTACCACGTGGAAGGTGCCTGCAACAAACACAAACACATTTTACAGATAAGGACAAGCAGAACTCTCGAGATAGGAAGACGAATTTAAGAGTATAAGTAAACAAAGAATTGTGGTCCCCCGCTTTCGGTGTCTTTGTGGGTGAGATGTTATTTTTTATGACATATTGTGTGTAATATGAACATCCTACCATATGTCATTTATTTAGAAAGTAACATTGAAGTTGAATTTTTTTTAAGGATAAATCCCTAATCCTGACCGTTAAAAATTTATGGGCAAAGTAAAAAAAAAATTTAAAAGTAGGTCAACTTCAAGGTCAAGATCAAATGGTCAAAGTTGTATATATCCAATGAAAGGTTTTTCTCACAAGGATTATATATGTGAAGTTTGAAAGCCCTAGCCCTTACTGTTCAAAAGTTATGATCAAGGTTAAAGTTGTTTCATAAGTACGTAAATCTCCAAGGTCAAGGTCAAATTGTCAAGGTTGTTGGTATCCAATGAAATGTCTTGCCACAAACAATACATATGTGAAATATGAAAGTCCTAGTGTCTACTGTTTAAAAGTTGTGACCAAGGTTAAAGTTTTTAAAAAGTAGCTAAAATTCCAAGGTCAAGGTCAAAGGGTAAAAGTTATTGGTATCCAATGAAAGGTCTTCTCACAAGGATTACATATGTGAAGTACGAAAGCCTTATTCCTCACCGTTGAAAAGTTATGGTCAAGATTAAAGTTTTTTTCATAAGTACGTAAATATCCAAGGTCAAGGTCAAAAGGTCAAGGCTGTTGTTATCCAATGAAAGGTCTTGCCACAAACAATACATATGTGAAATATGAAAGTCCTAGTACCTACTATTCAAAAGATATGGCCAAAGTAAAAGTTTGAAATTCTGTGTAAAAGTGGGTCAAACTCCAAGGTCAAGGTCAAAAGGTCACATTTGATGGTACCCAAAGAAGGGTCTTGTCACATGGAATACACATGTGAAATATGAAAGTCATAGCTCCACTAAATCAAAAGTTATGGGCAAGGTTAAAGTTTATGTGACGGACAGACTGACAGACTGACAGACGGACAGACGGACAGACGAATGAGATTTAATGTCCCCTCGCTTTCGCGAAAGCGGGGGACAATATATCTAAAATATCAAGTAATGTCATATTCCGTTTCAAAACCATGTTGCATTTTCATCTGAAGTTCTATTTAAAACGTTATTTGATGTATCACAAGCATAAATTTAACACATTCCTGCTAAACTAACCATTATCGTATGTCCTAGCAGATTTGATCCTGAGTTTGACTTTGTAAAATTTATAGTAGCTTTCCTCTACTTCCACCGTAAGCTTTACGCGAGAAGAGTTCCTGATCATCAAGTCGTCTCTATACCATGTGATCTCAATCTGACTTTCCAAGTGCGACGTTCCAAATACGATTTGTAGGAGAATTTCTTTATTCTCCACTGTCTCATACATTAATGTAGAATTCTCGTCCAGAAATAGTAAAGTTGTATCTTGTGAGAAAAAGGGTAGACAATAAAATTTTATACACAAGGTAAACGGAAAACAACAAACAGAGATCAATTTCATAAAATCTAGAAACAATACAAATATAAGACAGGGCATAAAACACGGACCAATATGGAAATTACAGAGGTTGGATCATGTGCCTCATCACACCCGCCATGAGGTAGACGGACAATTCCGTACTCAATTCAGCATTAACAATTATATTAGTATGCAAGATATCAGCCAAAATATGACCCAAGTATATACTAGTATATATATATGTTATATCAAACAGCGCCTAATATATAACTGAACAAATACAGTAGTGCACACAAGAAAACTTACCGATCTCGCAGAATGTCCCATCAAAGTTTGGCAAACAGTCACAAAAGCCACGTGTTTTGTTGTAAGTGATGCATTTTCCATCGTTTAGACACATTGTGTCATTCTTACAATAATCCCCAGCTAAAAAGAATATGAAGAAAAAAATGGCATTAAGAATGGTTAAGTACATTTATTTTATAAGTACACATTATTCACTTTAAATAATAAAACGAAATAAAACTTTGTTTTTCATGGAAAAGGAATATAAATACCGGTAGAAAGATTTGTTATTGTACATTATAAATTTCTCTTTCCAGACTATTTGTGAGGATGATCCATGTATATCATCTTGGTCATTTTAAAGTTCATTTGTAGTTTCAGCACTCTTAATAGATATCAAAATTAGATCTTGGTTTCATGTAGTTTGTTAGATTATTTATGTATAAGATGATTTTCAGACGATTGAATACGTTACCTAGTTTTTTACAATCTTTATCCAGTGAATTTTCTGTAGTGTTCGTATTGTTAGGTCGACATTCATTAGGTAGATCAAGCCCCTTTCCATTACACGTGTATGTTTCTGGACATGGAAGACACGACTTATTATTCGGTTGTCCTCTGGAAGGATTGTAAGTCATATTGGGACAGGGTGTGAAGATCCCTGTTCCCTCCAGACAATAATGCCCGGCTGGACAAATGTCACCCCCATAGCCATTCAACGGTGTAGGTGAGATCGCTCCCCTATTACAATAAAATCCTGATGAACAAGGACCTGTTGGAACAGACAAATTTCTCCCAGCACAAAACATTCCTGGAGAGCATTTCAGACAGGCCTTCTCTGTGGAGTTTCCAGAATAAGGATTAAAGGTTCCAATTTCACAAGGAATAGGTCGCACTTGTCCCTCTGGACAGAAAAAGCCTTCAGGGCATATAAACACACTTGATCCGTTTGGGCAAAAATATCCTGCAGGACAGGTTATATTAAATCCATCCTTACACAAATTTCCCTTTGGGCACTCTGTACATATGCCAACTTTTTGTGATCCATCGGCATTTATGCAATGATTTGTCTTGGGTTCTGGTAAGAATAAAGAAACAAAATACTTTAAAATAAGACATGCGCAAAATGTTATGATTCATTTAATACTTATGAGTTTTCGTGCAAATTATATGTACCTGGGTTAAAGGAACATAGTACACTGATGACTTCTCTTTCAGCATTACATTCTAAAGGATAAATGGATCCCACGGGACAAGTAAGGTTTCCAGGACAAACCTCACACTCCGCACTGGTTGTATAAGGATTGAAGTACCCTGAGGGACAAGGGATTGGCTCTCGTGAACCTCTAGGGCAATATGTTCCCGAAGGACACATGTCACCCATTCCTCCGTCAACAGGTGTCGGTGTAGTCGATCCACCGGAGCAAAAGAATCCAGGTAGACAAGGGCCTGTTGGCCTATCTCCACCGGGAAGAAAGCAGTAGAACCCAGGCGGACACAACAGGCAGTCAGAGCTATTGCTGCTTGTATTAGAAGGATTGTAATATCCAGCTTTGCATTGAATTGGACGAGTTTCACCGGAGGGGCAATAGCTGCCTGTGGGACAAGGTATTGGTTCTGATGAACCAGGTGAGCAAAAGAAGCCTGACGGGCACCTGCTTTTCTCTCCATTTACACAGAAGAAGCCTGGAAGACAGGGTAGGCAGGGATTCTTTCTGTTGGCGTCACTGGCATTGTTGTTTGATTCTCGGTATGTTCCATTTAGGCAAACATTGTCTTGTGCAACTTAAAACACATGAAATAAATGGTTTCAGCAGAATTTTAAAATAACATAAGAATAAGACAGGGAAATAGAGTATAACTGAGGTAACTAAAAATTTTAATTTAGGATGACTCAAATTACTGATGAAAGAATATTAATAAATCACGTTAATCAATTTATTTCCCAAATACTGTTGACATTACTCATCAGATATAAGTACATTTAGATTGATATATATCTTAAAAGAGAAAGAACAAATTAATTTTATTATTAATAATGTACAATCGGCCTACCTGTCGGAGTCATGGGGGCAGGAGTATTCATAGAAGGTAAACCACACACGCCTCCATCTGTGCCCAAATAAAAGGTACATGTACTAGTGTAATACACATCTTGTACATAAGGCAATAACTTTTATCCTACGATTCAACATACTCTTTAATTATTGAAGTATAGCTGAGCAAAAGACATGCAGGGATTTTTAGTTTCAGTGTAGTACACTTAATGTTTTGTAAAAATGGCTTAAACTTTGATTCTGTGATTCAATATACTCTGTAGTACCCATTAATTATTGAAATATATATAAGCAAAAAAATTTTACTGTAAACCAACTATTCGCTTCATCTTTTATTTGCAATTCGTCCGTTTGAAATCAATCCACGACGATTTATTTTCGCGACAGAGGAAACATTCCTTACAAATACTAAGCAAAATTATTGGTTCGCGGCAATAAATATTTTTTAGAAACTATGAAAATTTACAATTAAATTGATATGTTTTGACGTACCAAAGCAGTATCTGCGGTTACACTTGGTAACAGGTTTCAGTTTGAAGGTGAGGAATGAGGAACAGTTTCTAACTTGGATATTAAAGGAGTGCTGACAGCAACCAAAAGCTGTTCTTATACACATTTGTCTCTGGACAGTGCCTTCTCCCTCCAACGGAAAAGACCCTGAGTCAAAAATAAAAATGAAACAGCGTAGTTCTCTAACAAACTTAAATGAAAATAAAAGGCATCGCTGATTATAGAATCTACCTAAAAATCTTTGTTATATATTTATCTTGAGAAAAAAGAAATTGGCATAATTGCAATAAGTCTGTATATCTGATTGAAGAATGCAAAATGTTAAAGATATGTCTTTGGAATAATTTGTTTACTGTCTAATCAAGAATTATTTGGAATTATTTTTTCTTCCATACCATTCATCCAGATGGGTTCGTCTGTCCCACAGCGGCCCTGTCGTGGACAGGTTTGGTGGAGCTTGAGGAAGGAGGACTCATCAGAGGCCTGTAGGCGGTACCACCCCTCCTCTAGATGGTTATCACAGAGGTTAGGGGACTGAGAACGACGACAATCCGCCGACCGATACCCGTCGTCCATAATAACAGTGAACCCAGAGAGACTAGAGCAGGGATCTGTAAAGGAATATGTTATATATCAATATAGAATGTTTGTAAAAATATTTCGTAGAATAGTTAATGTGTTACATATGAAGTTTGCTATCTGCATTGTACCCACATTCAACAAAAATATTTTAACATTGTTTACTTTTTTGATATATAAATGATAGATAATTAAGCTACAAATTTTCTGATAACTAACATTTTTGCAGGCATTGTTACAGGATTTTATTTTGTTTTGTACTAAATCTTCATATACTCTTTAAAAGAGCTTTGCAAAATAAACTTTTAAAACATCTCATCGAGGTGATAATAAAAAATGTATGTTCATTTCGAATCAAACTGCATTACATACCCCTGGAACTGCAGTTCTATATTCTTGTTTGCCAGTTAGTGTATATGAAATTTTATTTACCACAGTGTGTAACTACAACTGATTTTCTAAATTTTTATTGATATTTAATAGGTTTTTGTTGCACTTACAACTACTACAGATCTAATCTGAATTTCGGAGGCATATTTTTCTTATTGTTCTTTTTTCCATCTGTTTGATATATTATATCATCTTACCCAAAGTAGATTATTATATTTATATGATAAATATGTAAATTATTATATGAAGGATATGGAAACAACGAACAGAATTCAATATAAAAATCCATAAAACAATACAAAATAGGAGCAGAGCAAACACGGACCTCCAAAACATCGGAGGTGGGATCAGGTGCCATGGAGGAGTGAATATCCCCTGCTGACCGGTGACATCAACCGTGTGCTCCTTGTCATGATCGAGAAATAACGGGAAAATCCGTCGTCAATTCAGGTATAAATAATGGACTAACAATAAGTATGAAAAAGTCTATGATAATGACAATGATGAATTGTATTTGCTGACAAGGTCATTGAATCGATCATAGAACTTACAAAATGATGACTTTAAACGAGACTGTTGACATTCTTGTTTCATCTATAATTCATCTCGTTTTAGAAATTGTTCATACGTTAAGCATGCTCTTGCGTTTCGAATCAACTGAGATATATAAAGGCCGTGTGCAGGTGATGAGGGTATATTGTTGTATAAGTAAGGGAAGTTGGAGAAAAGTTAAAGTTATCACGTTTATCATAGATCTTGGTTGTTAGATTACCATTAACGTCTTTTTCAAGTAAAATATCGAAGTATTAAACAGATGTGTCAGACTCTGTGGTATCTTTTATTTCAAGTTCACCGGACATATCATATTGACATAAGAATGGAAATAACCATTGTTTATTGACAATACTATATTTTATTAATTTATTTACAAAATAATATTCGAAGGATATCAAAACATCGAAAATGTTAAACTGGGTCACTAAAACCGCCTAAAGTAAACTTGTTAATGATGACCTAAAATACTGAAATCTATATTGTAAATGTTTGTATTATATCCTGGAACGAGCAAACATACTGTTTATGTGATAAAGTACCGCGGGTTAAATTACTTTGATGTATCTATTTTTATTATAGTTTTATGATAATATCTTTAAAAATGCGTGTCGTATCTCATTTATTCTACTTTATGTAAGGTAATTCAAAATCTAATTTTTAGCAAAAATAATTAAACTAAAATAGGTTTTTACCAATCATGGTGTGAAAACCAGGTGAGTGTAAAAATATACATTCCAATAGAGCTTGAGTGAAGTAATATAACTTAATTTTGTAAACAAAATTTTTACTTTTGAAAAAAAAGTCAAAGAATTTTCAAAAAGCAAATAAAAGGACAACAGACATTATTGTGGCAACTAGCTCTTTAACTTAATATAGAATATAATAAATTATGAAAAATGATGGCATAAATGTCATTATTAAGCAATTCCCTCATTTTTAAAAATGCAGTAAAACTCAAGGAAACATATGAAAAAATAATGCAAAACATAAATCTCTCTTTTGATTGATTAAGTTATTTCAATGATGAGCGAATGAATGATGACACAATATAAGACTGGAATATGGAGAGTAACAATAAACACCATGAATATAGAAATATCACATGTGTAAATAAATTCTTGAAACGTTAAATGCAAGAAGACATTAATAGAAACATTTTGATATATATTGAGTCTTTGATTAATATGACGTAGTCCCAGGACGAAAGTAGTTTTTTTATCTTTAATTTGAAGGCAAGGCTTAAAAAATATCCAAAAAAGAGGTTCACGTTTTATATTATTCATTCATTACATTGTTAAATATTTCAGATGATATGACTTCTTATTTTCAAAGCTACTTTAGCTTTCACTAAAAAGAAAAGTTAGACTATATTTTCATGAAGTATGGAGTCCTTTATTGTTTAATTTATTCAAAAAGTCACGATTGCCATGTGTATAATATACTCCTCCTACAAAATTATTTTTATTCTCGTTTATAATTCATAAGAGATTTTATCATTGATACATTGCAAATTATAATCCTAATAAATAAAAAGGTTTTTCCAAGATCTAACTTTATTTAGGTCACATTATGTTTTCCAATACATAAATATTGTACAGATAAAGTATTATATTTGTTCAAACAAAAACAACAAAAAGTAAAGATTTTTAAATAAATTTCTATTATATGTTTTGTGATTGGTCATTAACAATATTATTTTGGTCGATACAATGACCTTGTCAACAAATGCAATTTATCATTGAGTCAAATGCTGACTGACGTTTTTCATACTAATTGTTAATTGTTACACTGAACTGACAACGTATTTTTCCAAGAATATCAATAGTCTCGTTTAAAGTCATCATTTCGTAAGTTCTTTGGTCGATACAATGACCTTGTCAGCAAATACAATTTATCTTTGAGTCAAATGCTGACTACTAATTATCATGATACTTCATACTAATTGTTAATTGTTACACTGAATTGACAACGTATTTTTCCAAGAATACATATCAACAGTCTCGTTTAAAGTCATCATTTCGTAATTTCTTTGGTCGATACAATGACCTTGTCAGCAAATACAATTTATCATTGCAAATGCTGACTGATGTTTTTCATACTTATTGTTAGTCCATTATTTATACCTGAATTGACGACGGATTTTTCCGTTATTTCTCGATCATGACAAGGAGCACACGGCGGGTGTGGCCGGCCAGCAGGGGATGCTCACTCCTCCATGGCACCTGATCCCACTTCTGTTGTTTTAGAGGTCCGTGTTTGCCCTGATCCTAATTTGTATTGTTTTATGGACTTTGCTAGTGAATATTGTTCGTTATCTCCATATCCTTTGTTTGTTAAATAACAATAATAGCATCGACAAAAGCGTACTCAAAAGGATGTCGGAGTTCCCCTGATGTCAACATCTATAGGAAGTCTTTGAGGACTAGTTTTTCGATAAATTGTTTAAAATCCCGTATCCATTCATTGTGTCCCTTCATAACTCGATCCAGTTTTATATCCAAGAATTTATTCAAAACCGTCTACAAGAAATATTTGGAGATAACGAACGGTATTCAAGCTCAAATTCAATTAAGCATATTAATACAATTTAAGAGCAGAGCAATTACGAACCTCCAAAACATAAGAGGTGGGATCGGGTATACTTGAGAAGAAGAAATCACTTGGCAATCAAATCGATATTAACAAAAAATATACCGATGACGTTCTATCTATTCATAATATTAACTGTCATTCAAATTACGACTCAATATATTAGCCTTGTGAATTGAAAATAAAACTCATCACAGAGTTTGTAACATAGATCTATTTTATATTTGGATGTTTTTCAAACTATAGACAATAAGGGCCCACTACCAACTTAACTGTATGACAAAGATAATTTCAGTTTATCTTGCGTTTGGTTACCTTTTATAAGATTTTTTATTTCACTTTCACCTGAATATGGTTTTCATTCACTACAGAAAAGCCTGATTTAATTACGACCTATGTTTAAGTCGAGTCAGGATGCCGACAGAAAAAAAAAGCTGAAACAGAGATGACAACAGTCTCCCTTTAAGTCAGCATTTCCATGATTCGCTTTTATGATATTGTTAGCAATTATAAGCCCTCGTTTAGTGGTAATTTCATAGACATAATTCATTGTTATGCTTTTAATTTTATGCCGAAATTATAATTGACTACGAAATATTTTGTGTACCTTGTAAAGGCTCACGGCAGGTGGGTGTATCCGGTCGACAGGAGACGCTTGCTCCCCAAGACACCTGATCACAATTCTGGATTTTTTACGGTCCGCAGTTTATTCTACGTTCACAGATGTTTATTTTTTTTTTTTAATTATATTGAAAATAAATCACTGTATGCTATCTCTACCATTTTTCATTAGCCAAGGGGTTCTCCAACAATTTATATTTATCATCGTTTGGACATTTAATGCATACATCTCCTTCCATGTTTCAAGATTATACAGGCCTTATATTGGCTGACTTGTAACACATCACTTTTTTAGGACTTTGTAAGCATATTGAAATTGGCTACGGAATGTTTCCTCAATACCTGATCAATGCACAAGGTTCAGGCAGGGATGTTTACATCTCCTAGACATCTGATCCAAGCTATTGAATTTCCAATGGTTTTATGCCTTCTTCACAGATTTATATTGTTTGTAGAATGTTTTTAGCCCGATCACTGTTCATTATCTTCACCTTTTTCATCTGTGACACCCTTGCCGTAAGACATTACTACAAGTATATTCTATAGGCATTCCACTGAGGATTTATTATATTTCAAAAATACTTGAAGTCCATCTCTTTTGTTTGCTTTCTGTCTTTTGCTACTTATTTAAAATGTTCTAAATTTCCCTTTTTCTGAAATTTTTTTTATTAATGCTTATCAATGCCTATCAATGGTATCAAGATTGCAGACGTCAGTCATCTTACATTTAAGTGAATTCATTTTGATTTACCACTTGTCAACCTAATTTACGTAATGCAGGGAATTAGCATAAGACATGCATGCACAGAGCACATGATGAAATAATTTAGAAAGTGAATGATTTATGTTAATAGGTCCTCAATGACCTTGTCTTTAATGCTCACGATTATTTCATGCAATAATTATACTTTGTATGGAAAACAAGCAGATATTGTATAGTGAAACATATGGAGATACATGTAACGAACAGCATTCAAGATCAAAAGTCCATTAAACAATACAAGAACGCGGACCTCCAAAGCATCAGAGGTGGGATCAGGTCCATATATAAAGATAGTTCAGAAATCAATGTGATTTAATTTGAGCGCTCGCTCTTAGTATATTATGAACTAGAGGCTTACACAAAATAAGCAATTTCTTAAATATGTTCGTATTTTTAGAAATGTGAAATTTTGAATGTATTTAAAGTGTCTGCTAATGAAACGTATGGTTTGCCAAGTCTTGTGCCTTAAGGAATTCTTATGTATTTCCTGAATGTCTCTCTATTTTTCCGTCTATCTAATCAGCAGCAAAATCCGTCAAAGATTTTAAGAAATTGAAAGGAATTAATAAACAAATATGGACCATAGGATAGGTCATTGAGTCAAATACTGACTGACGTTTTTCGTACTAATTGTTATAGGGCGAGCTTGAGATAAAAGATACCTAAGAGTCTGACACATCTGTTTCATATTTCATATTTTACTTGAAAAAAACGTTAATGGTGATCTAACAACCAAGCTTTATGATAAACGTGATGATTTTAACTTTTGTATTGTCAACTCCCCTTACTTTTGCATCATCCCATGCATACGGAGTTTATATATCTCAGTTGATTCGATATGCAAGAGCATGCTCTACGCTCGTACAATTTCTAAAACGAGGTATATTATTGACAAACAAGTTGATGAAACAAGAATATCAGAAGTCTTGTAAAGTCATCATTTCGTAAGTTCTATGGTCGATACAACGACCTAGTCAGCAAATACAATTTATCATTGAGTCAAATGCTGACTGTATTTTTTCATACTAATTGTTAGTCCATTATTTATACACTGAAAGTGACGACAGATTTTTTCGTTATTTTCCGAACTTGACAAGGAGCAAACAGAGGTTGCGATCGGTCAGCAATGGATGCTCACTCCTCCATGGCACCTGATCCCACCACCTCTGATGTTTTGGAGGTCCGTGTTTGCTCTGTTCCTACTTTGAATCGTTTTATGGACTTTTGAGCTTGAATACAGGCCGTTATCCATAAATTGCATTTCAACACGGGGATTGGGGAGGTGTTCAGTCACACACACACTCCCCTTTAGTCACATCCTTGTCATAATTTTTATGAGTGTTATAGCTTGATGGAGTATAAACTTTTATGGTGCTGTAAGGTAGTTGGTAACATCCTAATATCAAAATATGGGTTGATTTCATAAATATTATTTCTGGTTTGTATTAAATTCTTGAAGATTTTTCTTATGAACAAAAGAAAGATGGGGTTGAGGACAAACTCTATACTTTGAGAAATGTTCAGTATCAGCTCTTCATTTTTGAACTAGGTATGCTGAATACGCTTAATGACATTAAAATTTATGTATTTGTATCTCGATGGTTTCTATGCATATCTGAAATAGTCTTGTTGTTAGGCTGAAAATAACCTCGCCCTTTTATGGGGATTATTTAATTCTTGTGGCCACGTGCTATAAATCAGAAATGTTAATTATTTTACATGGAGCTTTTTCTTTAATCTTCCTTTACTTTGAATTCGGCCAACCTCTTTGTTAATAGCAAATGTCGTTTATTTTTCTCCTAAAGGGAAAGTGTGCTTGTCACTGATTATCAATATCCATTCATAAGATCTGTGTCTTCATTTATTCTGTACATTGTGTTGCTATAATATTAAACTTGTCACAAGATATGATAAAAGAAGTAGAGAACGTTGATGGATACAATTTAGTGTGTCTTTAAAAGAATGCATACATAGTTTATTATCAATGTGTGTTTATTATCAATCTATTTGAAATTTTAAAATGCACCTGTTTTATTTTGTCTAATAGAAATTCTCCACAATTATTTAACCTTAAGAATAGGGAAACTATTCCTGGATATTTGATACACTGACTACATTTAATGTTTGCATTTAATTGTGCTCTAAAAATATGGTATCGCAAAAAATAAATCTCAGTAGTAAATATTTTCCATTTAGAGTTGACTTAAAAGGAAATATTCATGTATTATAGTTCATATTTCATATGTTTGTTGCTTTGTATTCTAAATGGCGATACGTGTATTAATCAATGTTCACGAGTCAATATGAATAAAAAAAAAACCGTATGAATAATGATTTGTAAAGAGATGAGGAAGAATTTCAAACAAATGCTACAATATAAATGTGTGGCGTATATATGATCACTACTCTCTTATCAGATGTGAAATCTCGAAATATTGGGCGTGGAAATATCAACAACGCGGATGTTTATTGTGAACCCCTTAATTATGGTTAGCTCAGAAGTGTGACTTTAACTATTTTGATTAAAAATATGAAGGTATTCAAAACTGCCCATAGTATTTTAAATCAGTCTAAATTCAGTAAATTCAGAGGGAGTCAGATGAAATATTACAGGTTTAATTAAAATGCACGACTATTTCTTCGAAGAAACTAAACATGCTAAAATGGAAAACTGATTTGAAATCGGTGCATGCATAGTTCTTATCTTAAATGACATAATCCTTGGTTTTAACATAATATATGCATTCATAAAGTACACTATTAATTTTTCCATGTTTGCATGTAAATAGATTCTAAATCAGTGTCTACATTGCAGATGATGTCTGAGAAAGTTTTAATTTTAGTCATGTCTATACTAAGATATGCAGATTATTATATAATGGTAGAGAGTTATTTTATCTGTTAAGTCAATGATTAATAAACATCCAAACTTTGATATTCAGTATTAACAAGATATGTAAATCAATCTGATAAGATTACTTAAATTTCGCCACATCCTTAGTATGGTATAATTCTATATTAGTACAACATTTCCTGTACACTTAGGCATAATATGGCACAATATAAGCCACAAAGGTTATATTGAATGCTGTTATTTTGATTTTCATTTTCATTAGCAACATAAGCGATATCGTGTAGTACAGAAATAAAGCTGAAACATTTAATCGTTTTAAACGTTATGCATCCGTTATTCTCACAGAACACTAGAATACCTTTTATTTAAAAAGAATCCTCTAAAAATGAAATAGCGTGGTATAAACGGTGAAGAATATTGCCATAAATTCAATATTGAAAAAGTTTGTCCCGTTCGAAGAACATACGGGTATATTGCTATCATAAATAAACCTAAAGCTGATATTGGTAAGTCATCGGTTATCAAATTCAAAAATAGAATTGATACCATACTAATATTGACAAAAAGTGAAAAAAAAAATTTAGTACAGGTCATCGATTTGAACAGTTACAGGGATGAGGATAAATGTGATTTTAAAAGTAAAATAAATTCTTCAATTGTAGAGCCATACCGACAAGGGCACCTTGGATGACAACTTTATAATTATTTTTTTCTCAATGTAGATCCTCTTACAGTTTAAAGGTGAATCTTCTGAGAGAACTAGACCTTAAATCCTCTCGAACTGAACCCGGCTACCTTTCTATCGAGTGTAAACTTTAGGAGAAATCAAGGAGGTCTCTTCTTAAGAAGTGTACGACTTTAAGTGAGTGAATATAAGAGGATGCTTTTATGTCATTACACATGTCTTTGTTATGTATAAAACGAATTAACATTGCTTAACTTGTTTTTCCATACAGGTTTGTTATCATTAATGTTGTAGAGAATGTCTTTAAAGAGACTAACAAGATTATTGGAGCAATGTGTGTGATCTTTATTTCACGATTGATAAATTTAAGATTGCTTGAGTAAATCCAAGGAATTCGTGCATCATTTGGAATGTGTCATAAAGTTTTGAAAAGTTGTTGACATCTGTACTTGTGCCAATTTGCACTTTTTAAAATTAAAATTTTCACATGTTAGTAATAAATAATATAGGAATATACCTGTACTAGTAGGGAGTGAGCAATAAAAATGAATTTCCCTGAAAGGTAGAGTTAATGCATTACAGATGTACAGTTATGCCACCTGTTGTATCTATAATCAGCCTTCTCAAAAACAATCAATAGATGTACAGTGTATATAGTTATGTATTGTAAACACCGATCAAACAACCATTTTCTGGAATATTATTTAACCTGTAGATTGAGGTATGGATTTGTTCATTTCTTCATCGTGAGAAATGGTGTTAACCTTACCGTCATTTAAGCAAGACAGTTCACTAAACTTTTATGGCTTATGACATTAAAATCTTATGACATTAAAATTTTAGTGCACTTTAACACTTCATACAGTCTTACCTATTGAGGATGAATTTTCCGCTTCGCTTAGAACACTGGTTTGCGTCGTCTCATCCGTCAGTTTTGGTGCATTTGTCACAGAATCCTCACAGTTTGAACATGTTATCACAAATAAAAGTAAAAATCTAGAAATCCAAACATGTAAAGGTCCATCCATTCTCACCATACTTCTACAAAACGAACATCCAGGAGTATTTATCTTATAACAAGATGTCGTTTGAAAAAATAACAAATTTGACATCTCGGGGATTGAAGACGGACTGACGGTGATGAGTAAGGGTCACACTGCTTAGGTTATAACGCAGACTTCCTTCTTGAAATACAGGTACAACCACAATAACATAAAGTATTTGATTAATTTCCATAATTTTGAAACCGGATATTATAAAAGTACAGAGGGAAAATTTATTTCAGAAAGTTAGTGAAATACTTGAATAAGAGAGAGGCCTCGGTATATTAATGTAAATGACCTACCTTTCTTAATGGCCCGCTTTCATTAGTGAGGTATGTATAAATCACATGTAACAATGTTAGGGTGGTGTTGATCGGAGCTGTTTGTGTGTTAAGATAAGGTTTATTACTCCGTATTATCCTCAGAATATTGATATTCCGATATCGGGGGTATATCTCACTTTGTTTACACAGAGTTCACTAGACACTCCCATAAAAATTTTGTAATTTGAATTCGGAGTTATACACTGTAGATTGAACAGTAAAGGTCCCGCCAGTAGGCAGTGGGCGTTTATAAACAGATTCTGTTAAGGACCCTTCAGTCGAGACTTCCACTATAATTCCTGAGTCACTTTTTTTTCAATTCGAAGCAAAGTCTTCGTGTGAACGCCCCATGTTCCCTCGATTCCTATCAAAATCCCCTGGTGACGCGTGCCTACAATTATTCAATTTAGTTGTGTGTGATCAATTATGGATCAGGAAAATATTTTGGGGCTTTTTATGATTAATTACTGCAAAATCATCAGAGCGTCACAACAGTGGATCTCGCTTAGTTAATATTTTTTATTTTAAAAAAATGTCCGAAAAATGTTTGTTTTTTATCAAGAGTAGCTAAAGCGAGTGATTTAATTAATAAGAGATGGTATGAGATATAGATAACTTCCTTTCCTTTTTCTCCTTTTAAATAATTTAGAGGCTGTTTACTGCAATATTGAGGGCATATTTTTTTCAAATGCTGGATTCATTCATGTGAGTATAAATCACACGACCTGAGGTGTCATATCACCTTTGAATTTTTCGTGTAATTTCACCCTAGGGCCAGGAACATAAACATTCAAACTCACGGGACATTGTGTCAGCTGATGAGAAATGACCCCCTCCTCACAAAGACTACACCACGGCCAAAAAAAAGCATTGATTTGGGTCATGTCGGGTTTCCACGAAAAAAGAGTCCGTGCGTAGGCATAAATAGAAAGGTTTCTCGACTGTTTCGTTTTATGATTTATTTCTATAAACGGGGGCGTGACAAATTATATATATGTTCTTTTGGAATAATTTTGAATTTTTAATAGGTGACACGGTCTATATGATCTAGGCCCTCTTTGGCACAAAAAGTCGTGAAGAGAAAATAGATAAGATCGAGCGTATAGCAGAGACAATTTCATTTCGTGAGAGGTGTAATCTCTCTCTCTCTCTCTCTCTAAACTTGTTTTATTTAAAGTGGTTCTAGAATACATTATTTCCAAAACTTATATGTTCATGTTTATTATTTTCCAGGTTTGTACACAGTTTTGATTTGTAGATTTTGCTTGGTTTTATTTCAGAACTTATTTGTACCTTATATCAATATACCTCTAATGCAATCGCAACGAAAACACAAATTTCAACAATAAACAAAATTATTAATTAACCCTGTAAAGGAAAACAGAAATGTATCAGAAATAATGAGTCTTTAATTTTAGCACAAAGATCTCATGCAGCCAATTTACGTTCCCTTCATACATAGAGATATATAGCTGAAATATTGCGGACTCGATAAAATGTATAGTTGTTCACATTCCAAGCTCTCAGATGCTGCAATCTCAATTAAAGAATGACCCGTTAATTATGTTTTAGAGCAGGTAAACGTTTTTGAGAATATCATAAATTTTGGGGGCAGGTCTCATTTTCCAAGTTTTGACCAAACTTTCAGGGATGATGCATTGAAGGATGCACAATACAAGACTTGCTCTGCACGCTTGATCTTTTCTACATTTTCCGGATGTGACCAAAACTTTTCTAAAGTAGGTTCATTCTTTAGTTACTATATAAACCCTAAATTGCATAGCTGATACGTTCAAGGATGCACACTTCCAGACATGCTTTGGATGCGGAATTTGACCAACATTTTCCGTATGAGTTACCAGGTTAAAGCTTTTGGAGTAGGTTCATTCTTAGGTAGCTATATTTTCCGTATCTGGATTAAATTTGCATAGATGATACATGATGCCCACTACTGAACTTGCTTCGATTGCTGAATTTGACCTACATTTCAAGATTTTCTCGCAACCAGGTTTAAGTTTTTAAAGCAGTTTCTTTCAAAAGTGACTACTGACTATAAGTCTTTTGCCCACCAGCTTTGTACTTTACATTTATTAAGGCACACGTTACTAGAGTTGCATTGGATGTAAGATTTTGCGTATTTTATTTTCAAGAGTAGAAGACAGGTTAAAGTTTTTTTCAGCAGGTCCAAGACTAAGAAAATATAAGGTCTACCTGAACCAATTAAACTTGCAAGATGCATCAAGAGATTACCACTACAAGAGTTGCTATAAATGTAGGATTTGGCCTATATTTTTCAGATGAGATTCAAGTTTTTTGGAGCAGGATCTTAACCAAGAAATTGTTTACCCTACCTGGACCAAACCTGCATGAAGTATACATCAGGGGATTCACAATCTCAAACTTGATTCAGATGCTGGATTTGACTTGCATTTTTTGGATGAGTTACAAGTTTAAAGTTTTATAGACAAATTAACTCCAGATTAACCCTATCAAACCAAAATTGCATCTAGGATTGCATGCTTCTAGATTATTAGTTTATCGCTTAATCAGTTCATTTCCATATTTTTGGTTGGCACTAAAAACATTGGGTTGTTCAGGGTTACATAAGATTGAGTAATAATAATAACATTGACATGAATGTGTGATTAGAATACAAAATATATAATTAAACATATTGTGTTGAATACTAGTATATTAATAATAGTAAAATATTATACTAACTTATCCTCCTTGTTCAACTTCTTTTATCTCGAGGCTTATCAAAGAAACACATTCCCCAGATATTAGGGGATTAAGGTGCCTTTGAAGGGTATTCACTGAACCACTTCTCTAGGTTAAATTAGGCGGAAATAAGTTGTAGACATTGGAAAAAGCTCAGTACTTCATAACAAGGGTGGGCGTTCGCGATGGTAATATTGGTAAATACCTTAGATCATTGTTTCAACATATATACACACACCTAACTATGTCCTGTTAAACAATATCAATATTCAATCATAACTTTGGAGACATAAACGAAATATGCAGGTGAAATATTACTACATGAATAAAGTAAACGGTGGCGAAACATTTTCGCAGTCCTCGGATATTTATTTCAAACTGTTAATACGTATTCCGATGGGCACTATAATTGTGTTTCTTTATCAGCTGACCTATTGTTATATTCCTATGAAGCAGAATTTTTTATTTTAAGATAACCTAGACATGAGAAGAGGAAAACACTTGCAATAGTCTTTAGTGTGAAGTTCTATTTCAAACATTCAAATATAGTGACGATGTTTTATCGTACATAAGCTATACGTGTAGTTATTTATATCTACATGTCTCGATCCATCTTATTGACTTGAAATTAAAGACATCACAGAGTCTGTAACATCCTTTTAACTGACTACCGACGATGAGGGACAACGAACAACAAACGAGATGACTTCACTTTTACGTTGATAACTTTTCTTATTAATGATATTCCACTAACACTTGCTTATTGTCTCTTTGCTTATTCGTTATTCAAGAACTTGCTCTGAGTACCGTCAAGTTTTAAACCAAAGCATGCTACTCACTGATAAGTTGAAGTTACAGAGATTTCAATAATCTCGTTTAACTCTGCATTTCATAAATTCTATTTCATAACTTCTGAAAGCCTATGATGCTCACGTTCGGATAATTAAAACGCGTCGTTTAAATGACACACAAAATATACCTGGAAATATGAATGTGTGTTTCTACTGTGGTGAATCTGGCCATTCCTCCCAGAATTGTCGACACGGATTTAAAATCGTCTGCTGGAACTGCCGCTCCCCAGGTCACAAAGCAAAACACTGTTCGTATTAGGAATTCGGCAAAGAGGAAAATGCCGAACAATCTACCCTCTTAAATTCAAACCCCTTTAGTGTTTTAAACAATCTTTGTGCCGAATGTGGTGAAAAATCATGTAAATCTAAATGTTCTCATATCTGTAGTGCATGTAATATCAAAGATCAAACAGAAGGATCAGATGTAGCTAAAAATTTAATGTCTCCTTCACAGTCAGTCAATAATTGTAATGTAAATCCTGTCAAAAAAGTATTTCATGTGAAGCCATGTACATCCTCCATTTCTAAATCACCAAAACAAATTCCTAATTCAACAAATTCTACAAATATAGACCCATCACAAAAGGAAAAATCAAAATTTTTAAACAATTTCGGACTCGTCAAGAAAGGTCTTAGATTTGGGAATCTAAATATACGTCACATCATGCCAAAAATTGACCAACTTAAAATTCTTTTATCAGGATATCGCTCTATGGATGTATTTGGTATCTGTGAAACATTTTTAAATGAGCAAACGGACAACTGTGAGTTAGACATTGAAGGATTCAATTTTGAGAGAAAAGATAGATTATTGAAATCAGGAGGAGGATTAATGGTCTATGTTTCCAAAAATTTACATTACAAACGTAGAAATGATTTTGAAATAGGTAACATTGAATCAATATGGCTTGAAATTAATATCCCAAATTCAAAACCAATTTTTTATTGTACCACATATAGGCCCCCGTCTGCCACCTCCTGCTGGGTAGAAAGTCTAACACGGGAGATAGATTGTGCATCCCGCTGTGACGATGCTGAAATTATTTTAACAGGTGACTTTAACATCGACCTGATTAAAGACCCCCCAAGATACTGGACCTCTGCGTTTGAAGAATATGACTTCACACAACTAATTAATGTACCTACACGAATAACAAACACCTCATCAACTCTTATTGACCATATTTATACTACCCTACCAGAAAACATATGTGAATCTGCAGTACCATCAATTGCGATCTCTGACCATTACCCTGTCTGTTTTACGAGAAAATTAAATAATAACATCAATAAATTCAAACACACAGAAATAACATACAGAGACTTTAATAAACAATTTAATGAAAATAATTTTCTTGCAGACTTAAAAGAGGTAAATTTCCAATCATTGGAATTATTCTCAGACCCTAATGAAGCACTCAACAAATTCTATTCACTTTTTAATGCTGTATTAGACAAACATGCAAAAGTAAAAACAAAGAGAGTTAAGCATGACACAAGACCTAAATGGTTAACTCCGGAAATTCTGCAAGCTCAACACATGCGTGATACCCTCCATAAAAATAAAGACTTTGAAAATTTCAAAATATGGCGCAATAAAGTCACATCACTAATTGAAAACGCCAAGATTAATTATTATAAAACAGCTATAGAACTAAATAAAAACTCAAAACAAATGTGGGATGTATTAAACAGTTTAGCTTCTAAATCTCGTAATTATATTCCAGCTGCACTTGCTAAAAATAATTATATCACAGAGGATACACAAGAAATAGTAGAATTGTTTAATTCTCATTTTTCAAATATTTCTGTAGAACTTCTTTCAGGCATAAATAAGGAGGAAAATGACTTTACAAATCTTTTAGATTTTGTTAAGTCTAAATTGGGCGCAGACAAGTTTTCTATCCCACTCATAAATCATGACGAAGTACTAACTTTACTCAATAAACTAGATACAAGTAAATCTTCAGGTGTTGATACCATCGGGCCACGTCTATTGAAACTTACTTCACAAATAATACATAAACCTGTGACCCACATTATAAATACCAGTATCTTAACTGGTATTTTCCCCGACAGTTTTAAACTTGCAAAAATTACCCCAGTCTTTAAAAAAGGAAACAGATTAGATCCAAATAATTATAGGCCTATTTCTATTTTACCAACATTATCAAAAATTATTGAAAAACATGTTGCAAAATATATAATCTCTTTTTCGGATTTTGATCTTATAGTAGATTCTCAATCAGGCTTCAGAGAACTACATTCTTGCCAAACAGCCCTTACTAAAATTACTGATGAATGGTTAAATGAAATGGACCAAGGTAAACTTGTTGGTACTGTTTTTCTTGATTTCAGTAAAGCTTTTGACCTTGTCAATCATGATATTCTACTTAAAAAACTACAATGTTCTAACTTTGATGCAACAACTTTACAATGGTTCAGGTCATACTTAAGTGAAAGACTTCAAAGTGTCCATCTGTCCAACAAACATTCATCTTATCAGCAAGTCACAGCGGGAGTTCCACAGGGATCTATACTAGGCCCCCTTCTATTTTTATTTTACACTAATGATCTTCCTTTATGTATTACAAAATCCAAATTAGAATTATTTGCAGATGATGCCACTTTACATACATCAAGTAAAGATTCTCAAACTATTGTAGATACATTATCAACGGATATAGCTTCAATAGAAAAATGGTGTTCTCAAAATCAAATGGTTCTAAATGCTACAAAAACCAAATGCATGTTAGTCGGTACGCATCAAAAGAGATCAAATTTTCCTGAGCATGAAATTAATCTATTTGTATCAAACAAAAAACTTGATATAGTATCAAATGAAAAAATTCTTGGAGTTTATTTAGATAATTCTTTACAATACAATGTACATATTGACCATGTTTGTAAAACACTGTCACGTAAAATTTCAGCCCTACGTAGAATTAAAAAGTATCTTCCAATTGAAACACGCAAGCTATTTTACAATGCATACATTATGCCTTCAGTTGATTATTGTTTAACTATTTGGGGTAATACATCGCACTCAAATCTTGATAGAGTATATAAGCTTCAAAAACGAGCTGCAAGATGTATTTTAGATGCTCCTCCTGATGCGCCCTCACAACCTCTCTTTGAGAAACTAGATTGGCTCACAGTGTATGAGCAACTTATTGTAAATAAATATGTTTTGTTATATAAATCATTGTTTAACTCTCACCCTACTTATTTAAATAGTATGTTTAACTTCCAGTGTAATAATCAATACAATCTTCGATCAGAATCTAATTTAGACCTGTGTGTACCAGCTCGTAGCTGTAAACTTTTTGAGAACTCCTTTCAATACTCTGGTGCTATCTTATGGAATAATTTACCTGTACTTATAAAAATGTCTCAAACACTGAATGCTTTCAAACATCAAATCAAAATATTTGTAAAACAATGTCGAAATAACTTATAATTATTTATTTGATTGTGTATATTTGTATATGTATGTATATTGTTTTTTGTCTACAGAAGGCCCCGGGGAAGAATAGTGCGTGCACTAATCGGGCTAACTTCTTTAAATAAAGTATTATTATTATTATTATTATTATTATTATGCCAGTTATACTGACCCTGTTAGCAAATATAACTTATCATTGGGTGGTATTATGGCAATCTTCAATTCAAATTAGATGTTACATCTGCTCAAACATTCGTTACACTAACATCTAATAACATCCTACTGAGGGTCACAACAGAGGTCGAATTCTACCAACTGATCAAATCGTCCCCTGCAAAATTATCGTATATTTGCTGAAGCGAATAAGTCTAGAGTTCATCCGAATTTGACCTCTGACGTGACCCTCTATGGGATGTTGTTAAATGTTAGTGTGGCGAGTATGAAAGTGGATCTAACATCTAATTTTAATTAGATTGGTATTATGGCTGACATGTTTCATGAAATATATGGGGAGTAGGAACAGTATTCAAGATCAGAAGTCCGTAAAACAATACAAGACAGAAACAGAGCAAATAAGGACTTCCAAAACATCAGAGGTGGGTTCAGATACCACTGAGGAGTGAGCATCCCCTGCTGACCGGTCACACCTGCCGTGTGCTCCTTGTCACGACCGGGAATCAAGGGAAAATCTGTCGTCAATTCAGTGTGTAAATAACTGACTGACAATAAGCATTTGACTCAATGATAAATTGTATTTGCTGACAAGGTCTTTCGACCATAGACCTAACGGAATGATGACTTTAAACGAGATTGCTGATTTTCTCCTTTCATCAACTTGTTTGTCAATAATTTACCTCGTTTTAGAAAATGTACATACGTAGAGCATGCTCTTGCATATGGAATCAACTGAGAGATATTAACTCCGTATGCAGAGGGATATGGAGATAACGAATAGTATTTAATATCAAAGTCCATAAAACAATACAAAATAGGAGCAGAGCAGACACGGACCTCCGAAACATCAGAGGTGGGATCAGGTCCCATGGGGGGAGTGAGCATCCCCTGCTTACCGGTCACACCCGCCATGTGCTCCTTGTCATGATCGGGAAATAACGGAAAAATTCATCGTCAATTCAGTGTATAAATAATGGACTAACAATTGGTATGAAAAACGTCAATCAGCATTTGCAATTGGCTCAATGATAAATTGTATTTGCTGACAAGGTCATTGTATCATCATAGAACTTACGAAATGATGACTCCAAACGAGACCGCTGATACTCTTGTTTCAACACCTTGCTTGTCAATAATTTACCTCGCCTTAGAAACTGTTCATACGTAGAGCATGCTCTTGCGTATCGAATCAACTGAGATTAATAGAATCATTCATTACTACGAGTGTGGGATAGTGAAATTCCACCGAGGGGACAAGATTCACGGTCTAGGACGAGGCTTTGCCGAGTCCTAGACCGTGAATCTTGGCCCCGAGGTGGAATTTCACTATCCCACACGAGTTTGTAATGAATGATTATTTTTCTCGCATTATTTCATCCAAATAACGATCTGTCAGCGCCATTAAAAAAATTTCTTTTTTTTATTTTGCATCTAATTAAAAATCTGAATACACCACCTAAGAAATCATACCTGAAAATGGTTTACACAGTAAACTAAAAAAATAAATTTCAACCCCCTTAAAACTGTCTTAATGAATAAACTGAAATAGTTTTTTTTTTTTAAAAAAAGTCAGTGAACGTAAAATTCATTTCAGTAAAATCCTTCCGCGAGCTACAAATAGTGCTCTTCAAAAAGTGAAAAAACAGCAGTCTTTTGAATGAAAATAAATTTAATTTAATAAATAAAAGAACAACATTTTAATCATATATGATAATATTATTATAAATTATTACAATTTTTATATAAGAAGGAATGTTTACATTCGAAATGTCTTTGCATAATGTGACCTACATATGCATGTGTGAAACATGTTGAAAAGTCTAGTCAGAGTCGGAGTCAATAACACGGATTCGCTTCCGAGATTGGTAAGAATTGTTTGTGATATTAACAGTGATGTTCCCATGTATTTGGGACCCGCTAAATATGGATCCAAAAGAATGTTGTGAGCTTGAGGAACGCTGCATATTGACCTGGTTGTTTTGAGTTTCAATGGCGGTATTATCTGAAATTGGTGTCAAGTCGAAGGACGGGAGTGCATTTGTCACTGTAGAGCTGGGCAGCGCTCTGGTTGATGATGATTCAAAATGAGAATGTTTTGGTGCAGAAGCATTTGAGAATGGAACCAGTGAGGAATTATTACAGGATGAATTTGATAAAATGCTGCTTATTGCGTATTTCTGTGAGTCGTTTATAGTGCGGTAGTTATTCAATGACTGAATATTTTTGTGACCTGTTACGTACACTTGTAATGTATCAGGGACGTTCGAATCCGTCATCCTTTGGACCAGGGTTTTCCGGACACTCGTGTTTGTGATTTTCTTATTATCAGGTAGGCCTGCATTTTTTGACATTCTTTTCATTAGATCATTAAGTTTGTTTACACCAATGGGGCTAGAAATAAACCATCGGTCCTGCATTTTTGGGCGTTTTTCGTTTGTTACTACAGAAATGTAAAAGGGGTCTTCATGTTTAGAATATCCGTCTGGGCGTTTATCTCTATACAAAATGTAGGTGGATACGGGGCATTTTTCAGGGTTCTCAGGGGTTGCATACATCCGTGGTGGGCAGGCACGACTATCAGTGACATCCACACCAGTTCTAGTTTTGGTTGCCCTTTCGTGATATTCTAAGAAGTCAAGTTGAAGTGCCTCATCCCTTTTCAAGACTACATCACCCCATTTCATGTTTCGGTGTTCTGTCCCCCCTCGCATGCCAAAATACAACGTATTATTGAACCATAGTGTGCTTATCAACGAGGTTGGTGTAGTTTTTCCCAGTTGTTCAGTCTTGAATAGAGTTTCAATTTCATCATGAGTTAAAGAGTCGGACCTTTGGGGTTTGTTTCCACGCCCTTGCGCTTTTAAATCTTTTTGTTTTGCCTTTAGGGCCTCTCTGCACCGCGCAAATTCAAAGCTTGTAATTAATGAAAACTGATACCGATGACGTTTTAAGTGTCTTTCAAAGCTCCCTATCATTCCCCTGAGACTTGAGGGTTCATATTCTTCGCCAGATTTTGTGCGGACATTCACAATAAAGTTCAACAAGAGAGGGTCCAACTCATTTGGGGGTATATTGTAAATTTCTCTTGACTCCCCTTTAATTTCAAAATACTCACGTAAAATGTTCAAATGGCCCATTGTTTTTCGTAAAGTGTTTGAGTTTTCATTTGCTTCAATAAAAGTAGATGTTTCCACATTTTTGAATCGCACACTTGTACTTGCACCCTCCATGATAATTATTTATTTATTGCAGACGATATTGTTTACATTTAAAAAGTAGTACCGTTATAGCGTAGTAATACATAGTGTAAGACAGAAAAATCTCACACTGCTGTCTCACACGGGAGAAGTCTATCTAACACCGGTGATTATGCGAGAAAAATACACTCCGTATGCAGGTGATGAAGGTATATTGCTGCATAAGTAAGGTTGACGATAGAAAAGTTAAAGTCATCACGTTTATCATATAGCTTGGTTGTTAGATTACCATTAACGTCTTTTTTCAAGTAAAATATCCAAATATGAACAGATATATCAGACTCTGTGGTATCTTTTTCTCACCGACTCACCGAGATATATCGTATCGACATAGGAATGAAAATAATCATTGTTAATTGACAACATCTAGATGTCGAGCTAAAGGCCACAGCAAGTGTTTTCATCTTTTCAAGAATAAGATTTAAGACAAATTCTGCTTCATATGAATACAAAAGAATAGGTTTTCTAATAATGTTAGACTTGTTTATTGGAAAAAAAATCATATCAGCCATTTTCTTTACTTTCACATTTTGATCGGAACTAGTCAATTTTCCAGCCAGCAAATGTTGACCGTGCCTCATATGAACTTTCTAATACGCCTTTACCATGATTTCGCTCATGTGTCTTTACAAACACCACATCACCTGCATTCAATTGTGCAACCACGGTACCTGTGGAAGTATGGCGATCATTATTTTCCTCAGAGTTAGCAATAGCACTGTTCCAGATGTCTGCGTTGACAACGAGATTTGAATAAATATAGCTGTAGGAATTTGCGTAGATAGTCCATGTTATGGCATAGAGTCCATTGTAGGGAACCGTAAATATCCCAGTATATCTATTGTAAGCATTTGCAATGTTTGTCATCACCACATCAAAGATAAATGTATGCTGAGGTGCTATATCTTGCCCGCCTTGCGTCATGTAGGCGTAGAATGCACATTGGTTAGACAGTCGGTATCCTATATTTCTTTTTGGCAATTCTTTTTGATACATTTCTATAAAAACATAATTATATAGCTTGTAAAGAATGCTACTCTTAAAATGGAAAAGCTTCAGTATCAACATTTTTGTAATAATGTGTCAATGCATATACATGTACATCATTTAATACGGTGCTTATCCACATCGGATTAATTACCCATAGTCACATTTTACATTTGTTATATCTGTTTTGTAATGCTAGCATTAAACTTACCAAGGGATCTTTGCGTTACATTGTTTTGGTAGTCTTGTCTATACCCTGTCTCTATGTTTTCAGCATTATTTTTCAAGACGTAGGAATCACTTTTCCCACCTTTAAATGTCCCGGTAGACTCGTATTTGGACCTTGCATGACTGTTTTTCTGTTTCACTGTGATGGCATTGCGCAGTGCTTGTAATTCCAAGCTTTGGTGTTTAATTGTCTTTTCTTGTCTGTGTGTTTTAATTCGCAAATAGTTCACAGAGTTGCCGAGAACCTGCATCTTCTGACTTAGAGTCTGCAACAAATTTTCTTGTCGATGGATTATTTCCAGCAGCTCGTCCGAGGTTTGGGCATTGCTCTGAGTGGTCTGAAACACCAAAATAAAAATTAGGACAAAGAGACAGGAATTTACATTGGTCATTTTTAAATACCGAAGGAGAAGGAGATCCTCGCAACAGAATTTGTGGATGTCTTCGTCTTAGGATGGAAATAGGAAACTGATAAGAAGTATTTTGTGACTGAAATATCTTATGAAATGGTGTTCCCCTATCTGCAGAATTTCTGCTGGCCAGACGGTGTATGACCTTTTTTTGTTGTAATCGTAACAATTGTTAACATGAAAGTATATATAAGTATTCGATAAAAAGACTAATGGTGACTTTTTAGACCAATCACTGGAGTTCTCTTTTGAATATTTTTTATATGAAAATTACCAAAATGAAATTTTCTCACTATATTTAAAGATTTGTTAACATTAAGAGTTTTTCGATTTCATCCGATTTAATTCAGCAGTCATGTTAAATACTACACTAGAACAAATAGAAAAAAAAGACTATTGAGCAATTACTAGTATCAAATTCTTCTTACATACATAAATTAATATCAGGGGTCTTTATCTCTCAGTTAATTCGATACGCAAGTACATACTCTATGTAAGTACAGTTTCTAAAACGAGGTAAATTATTAACAAACACGTTGATAAAACAAGAATATCGATCAGCAGTCTCATTTAAAGGCATCATTTCGTAAGTTCTCTGGTCGATACAATGACCTTGTCAGCGAATACAATTTATCATTTAACACACGGCAGATGTGACCGGTCGACAGGGAATGCTCACTCCTCCATGGCACCTAATACCACTTCTGATGTTTTGGAGGTGCGTGCTTGCTCTGGACCATTTTTTTATTGATTAATGGACTTTTGAGCTTGGATACTGTTCGTTATCTCCATATATTTCATCAAATAGTTTAGCGTGAGTTCTTAAAGTATAGACTGTTCTAAGCAGGTGTCCAATATATAAAATAGGAATGTAAAACTAACGAAGCGTAATCATGCTCTTAAGTGCAATTAAAAACATATTTTCAATTTTTTAAAAAAAATTCTACCTGCATAAGTTTCTAACTTTCTATCTCCATACATTTCATTGAAGCATATGTTTTCTCATTTAAAATGATGTTTTAAGAAGAGATAATTGTGATTATTTTGTTTAGATAATATTTGTCAATAGGTCCTTATCAAGTTTTCTTTCGTCCTAGCAAAAATTGCTTTATTTAGTTTATTTTTTCCTTACCCTGTTAATTCGTTTTAATCTAAACTTTCAGCCTAAGTTTAAAAATGTCGACACATCAAGCCTTTGTCAGTCAAAAGAGTAAAAGGGAGGTCAAATAGCGAGCTAGGGTTATAGCGATAGCAATCATGGCGGTAACCTAGACTCTCTGGACCTTCCATACTATATCTGTAATACTGAACAGCATGTAAACAATACTTTCAGGAGGTATGAACATTTCTTTTTCTAACATTTGCATATATACCTCATGCTAAGTAAATATTCAGGCTATAAATAGCCAAGGTGCTTTCCAAATCGGGTTTAGAAAATGAGAACGTTGTGGATTGTTTATATTTTTATATTTTTTATTCATGTTCAAATAAGCATATATATACTAGTATTTTTTAGTTAAATAGTTTCCAAAGAAATGTACATATTAGATGTATGCTATATTTATATAAGTAAAATAAATGTTTAATCATATAAAGTACATGTAAAACTTTTATGTTTATAATTCTTTGTTTCTCAGTTGTATTCAATATTACGAATTTAAAAAGTGACAAGATAAAGAGAAACAATATCAAAAAACATTGCAATTCCTTAATATTTGAAGTTTTAGATATTTTTGCAAAATATCAGTTGACGTTGAACTATAGACTGTTGATATCCGTTTTTCAACGGCTTAATTATTTGTCAATAGCTTGCTTTGTTTCAGAAATCGTTTGTGCGTAGTTAAGGCTCTTGCATATCAAATCAACTTGGAGACATAATCGATGGGCAGGTATTAAAAGTATATTGCTGATAAATATGGGAAGCTCATAAAAAAAGTTGAGGTCGGTACTTTTATAATATTTTTGTTCATGAACGGCTTTTGCTAGTAAAACATCCCAATATAAAACTGATATGTCCGACTCTGTGGTATCTTTTAATTCGAGTTCATAAGGATTATATACATTATTCAACAAAATATAAAAATGAATGTTGTTAAACGATCAAATGTTAATACTGTATATCAAAATGTAGAATTAAAAGCTACATCGAGCTGAGGAGACTTCCTTTTTCATATTTGTTTGTGAATAAATATCGTTTCGAATGAATACAGGAATAGATCTGCTAATTACTGGACGCAAGTACGTGAAGTAGCCCACGGGCATTTGTTTCTGTTACATTTTTTTTTTCATCCCATAGTTTTATAATCATTGTGGATTGAAAATTTATTATAGAAACGAGTGTCTGTGTAGTAGGCTAGTACAGGTAGCCATGGGGATTTCGACAGGTTGTTGGAAGACTTGATCAAAAAAAAAATATAATTATGGTCAATCCGCAACTCAAAAGTATTTTTATTAAGATCAACTTCTGAGTATAACTATAAGTTTAAGTGTTTGTGTATGGGGATTGGGGTGGGAGTTGTTATGTAGAATTAAAGGATTTCTAAACATTGAAAAGATTGTTAATCAGAATGTTCTTTCCGTTTATGAATTACGAGACACATAATATATTTACTTCCATAAAGTGAATCTGTAAAAATATATATGTTTTTTATTTTTAATATATAAAGTTACTTCTCAATTACTATCGAAACAACGACAGGTCCCTTTTTTTAGAACATCAAATTCTACTTCTCGGATAAAAACGTACTCTGCACAGTTCGTGTTTTATATTCTAAAATTGAAAATTAATACATTTTTAAATATAAATGATGCGTGTGTCTAACTTCAATTTATATTTTATGCAGCCAACATTTACTTGAGGAATTGATCAAGTTTAAAATGGTATCGTTTTTGATTGATTTTTATCCGACTACAAGTTTATCTATCGTCTCCATCAATTAGACGCATGCCTTTTTACATATATCGAAGCGGGTTTGTTGATCAAGATTCATTTTCATTGTTTACTTTATATATTTCCCGGGCGACAATTGATGATTACATCAATGTTTTCTTGTTTTTTTTTACGATAAAAACTTCAGACTCCTGTGCTTCAACAGATCAACAATGTTGATGTTACAATGAAAGCAGCATGTTACTTAGGGTCACTATTTTAAAAACTAGTAGAAAAAAAAGTTGCCTTTAGATTTCCCAAATTTCCCAAACTCGTTTTTAGCCGGGCTTATTGCTCAAAGAGCAATTGCCGGCTTATGTGATCCTGTTCAAGGCAGGATGTTGACCCCATAGTCGCCATTTTAAAGTTACGTGCAAAAATATAGTTCTTACTCTCAACCGCTTTTGAGATAATACAGACGCCAGATAAAATGAAGATTTATCTATATAAAATAAACATTAGTAGTAATGACTTTGAAAACTTCATAAGTCAAAGAACATAGTTCATTAGCGTAAGGATTTTTGAAAATCAGTGTTAAAAGTTCTCTACACATATGAGGTAAAGCAGGAGAGGTAACCAGACTTTCCTGTTTGTTTACATTCAGCTGCGGTACCAGGTTAATTCTGATTCTGACAAAATCGGACCGTGGTGTTAGGATTTAAAAACTCACTGTCAGTGTCTTATCATTTATATTGATAGTTTAAAAAAATCATCAGAATATAAAAGTGATTCGTGTCAGAAATCCATTCTACTCTGTAAATGAGCCCGGCTTTCTGTACTTCTGAGTACTTCGATTTTTTATATTACAGTGTTAGTTAAATAAAGACTCGCTCAGCCTTTGTCAGACAAAAGTGTAAAAGGGAGGTCGAATATTGAGCTAGGGATATAGCGATAGGACCTTCCATACTATTTCTGTATTGCTAAACAGGTTATATACAATTCTTTCAGGAAGTATGTGTTTGCCTTTTTTCTGACATTTGCATATTTATCCTATGTGTTTAATGAATATTCTATTTATAGCCATGGTGATTTCCAAATCGGGGTAGAAATAGGGGGAACTCTGATATAGACACTTTACTTGTATTATATGTTTTAAATATAAATTTAAATACAAATCGTTACAATCTTCCATGAAAATGGATGTATATTATATACATTCTATGCTTATAAAAAAAATATAATTGTTAAATCAAATAACCTACAAGTAAAAGTAGAACTTTACATGTTTCTAAGTTGTTTCCAGTATCGTGCTTTTAAAAAGTGTAAAAAAAAAAAAAAAAAAAATTATGGAAATAGTAAAGCTATAGAACATGAAGAAACTTTGCGATTTCTTAATGTTTGAGGATTTATATATATTGCAAAATTTTGACTTTAATGAGACTGTTGATATCCATGGGTAATCAATTTATTTGTCAATAACTTGTCTCGTTTCGGAAATTGTTTAAATTTTGCGTAGAAAATGCTCTTGTATATCGAATCAACTGGGAGACATAAACTGTGTGCAGATACATGTAATAATGGTATATTGATGTATAAATGAGGGAAGCTTTTCAAAGAAAAAATGAAGTCAGCATGTTTATCACGCGGTTTTTGCTAGAATTCCATGAATATCTTTGCTAATAAAACAACCAAACATAAAACAGATCTATATCTACCTCTGTGGTAACTTTTTTGATTTTTTTAAATTTAAAATGTAACAAATCTGGAATTGTCATAAATTAAGTAAAATTATTAAACTGAAAATCTATGTTCAGCTGGGATTTCACAAGATGTTTTTATTTAATTTAAAATTTTGACTTAACGATAAAAACGATAGGATCAAGATGTAGGAAATGAAAGGTACCAACACATTTCTCAACTCTGACAAAGTAATATTTTAAATGTTCCTTTAACTCATTTAATTCTAAATTTTGCAGCTTAGTTAAATGGTGACACATTCTGACTTTGTCCGACAAAAGAGTAAAAGGGAGGTCGAATACTGAGCTAGGGATATAGCGAAAGCAATCATGGCGGTAAACTAGCCTCTTTGGACCTTCCTAGCTGCAGATCTGTA